CTGACCAGAACTGAAAATATATAAATATTATCCCGAAGATTCCTCGGAGGAGAGCCGCGCCGGGGCCTACACAGCTCGTACTCATGCGGGTGTGAGCGGCTGATATGAAAAAAAAAAGTTGGTTGTGTTATCAGACTTGGTTTTCACTGGTTCCCTACACATTTTACAGATGACTGTGGTTTGTTTTTTGTCCGACTTGCCATAACTGAAATACTGCCAAACTGGCGAACTACAAAAACCCTTCTTTGAAACAATTTCCTCCGCCTCTCCTTGTTGCGACATCTTCATGTGCTCTGTGTTGTGATGTGAGAGGGCGGCGCTTTGTGACGGCGTGCCTGGGTCCGCGATTGTGATTGGTTAGGAGGAAGTAGTGACTGTTTGGCTTCACTGCATGTGGGTCCGAGCCTTAGATAAAATCATGACACACACATACATTCAAGAAGAGTATTGAAAATGTATTATTGACACACATGATTTAGCTGACATGTGGCATTTTAAAAAATGGAATGGAAAGATACGCAATATTCCTGGGCTCACTGTAAAGAGAATTATATTACTTTGGCAAGATTAGATAGGTTTTATTGTTTTGGGGATAATTAAAAATATTTAGGTCATGCACTTTGTGTCCAGTAGGCTTTTCTGATCATTGTTTGGTCATAGGGAATGTGTTTATAAATAATTTAAGACCTAAAAGTGCATATTGGCATTTCAATACTGTTTTGTTAAATGATATTTGTCTAAAAAAGGATTTTCTTTTTTTTATATTGGGGGGGGGGGGGACAGTCAGTTTAAATCTTTAAATCAGTGGTGGGATATTGGTAACATTAGAATTCAGTACTTTTGTAATCAATACACATACAATGTTACAAAAAAAATGGTTAAACTATTGAAAAATTGGAGGCTGAAATTGTGGATCTTTAGAGTTTTGTGAGTCAACAGGAAATTGATGCCATATTGAGGTGCTCAAACGAAAAAAAAGTGGCCTTGGCTGATCTGCTTAGGCTAATAGCACAGGGAGCTCTGGTACGTTCACGTTTTCAAAATATCTCTGAAATGGATGCTCCTTCAAAATTCTTCTTCAGTTTGGAGAAGAAAAATTGACAAAAAACGTGTCATCCATTGCGTTCATTCGGAAGATGCAAAAGAGTTAACAGATCCCACTGAACTGCGGAAAAAAGCTGTGGAATTTTTTTTCCAATGTTATATGCTAATGAGTTAAAAAAAGACTGTGATGACAGAAGAGTTTCTTGACTGCCAAATGATTTGCCAAAGGTGTTAGACCAAGACAATGTCATGTTGGAGCATGCTCTAACGTTGGAAGACCTTCAGGAAGCACTGCTGAGCATGGAAAATGGCAAAGTTCCAGGAATACATAGTTTGCCTGTGGAATTTTATAAATCAAGTTGGCCTGTCTTGGCTAAAGCTAACCCTAACCCTTTGGGAGTCCTCAATAACAATGTGGCAAGGGGAATGTTACCCCTTAGCTGTTGCAGAGCTGAGCTCACTCTTATTCCTAAGAAGGGTGATCTTTATGAAACAAGGATTTGGATACCTGTCAGTCCATTGTGTACTGACTATAAAAAAAGGGATTGATCAAGTTATACATGTCGATCAGTCTTATTGATCCCTGGCAGATCAATAAGGGATAACTTTAATTTGAGATTATTTGGACTTCTCTTATTTATTGGGTTTAAACTTTGGTCTGATTTCTATTGACCAAGAAAAAGAATTTGATCGAGTAGAGCACCAATATTAATGAAATGTTTGAAATCTTTTTGTTTCTCCTCTGGGTCCACTGCCATGATTAAAACCCTCTATTGTGATATAGAAAGTGTATTTAAAGTCAATGGTGGTTTAAGTGCACCTTTTTGTGTAAAGAGAGGTATTCGCCAAGCTTGTGCAATGTCAGGAATGGTTTATTCATTCAGCATTGAACCCTTGTTATGTCAAATCAGGAAATGGCTGCAGGATGTAAAGTTAAGCGAAGTTTCTTAACGTTTTCAACTTTCTGCATTTGAAGATGATATCATTGTAGCAATCACAAAAGAGTCAGTTGCTTTTACTTTATTCAAAATTATGAGTGTTTTGGTAAAATGTCTTCATCTAAAGT